TCCTCCATGAAGCCTTTCTTAGTCACCCCAACCCCAAAGCCCTTTTCTTCCTCTAAACCCTGTCGGTGATTACTCACTAGAGGCAGATATATGGCCACACACACAATATTATGATAAAGTTATGAGGCTGACTCACCAAACTGTGTTATCAGGTTCATTACATTATTGTCATACATCATTTTATTAATTGCCTTTTCCTTTGCACACATCTTTCTTCATCACTGTTATAATTTTCTCTTTTAAAAGGTCTGACTTTAAATTTTTTATACCTCCTGAAACCTTTTGCATTGTCCTTTTCATGTATCAGCAGACTTTTACCCACCTGAATTTTGCCATTTAAAGGTGGATTTAGATACATGAATATATGATTAGAATATAGATGGGAAGGAGGGATTCCCTGAGAAGGTAAGACTTGAGTTGGGTTTGAATCAAAGGTAGAAGGCTGATCTTGGGAGAACATGGGAAATTCAACTCAAGTCAAGGCATCAGCCTCCGCAGGGATGTAAAAGAATGTAATTCATTTGGGGAACAGGAAGAGATGGACAGTGCAAGTGGATGATGGGAGATGAGCCCAGAAGGAGTCATCATAATAATGGCCAAGTTGGAGTCAGGTTGTTAGCATCCTGAGGTCCATGCCAAAGAGTTAAAATGGAATTCTTGGCCAGGAGGAAATATCAAACCATTTTAAATAAAAGAATGCAATGATAAGTTTTAAGTTTTTAGAAAGATGCCTTTAGTAGCACAAACCTCTCAGTGTATCTGCCCATCTGGCTTGAAATATCTTCAGTGCTTGGTCTTTTTCTCTGTGCATGAGAGTTTGAAACACACGATTGTTTCATTCATTGTACAAAGTTTCTGGTTGGAGATTGTGACCCAGTCCATGTTTTTAGCACCATTTTTCTCTTAAGAATGCAGCTGAGGGTTAAGTTTCTTCCTGAAACATCTTTCCTCTCTGGGCCATCAGTCTATGTTCTCATTTGGAGTCTTGAACATAAATTGAGGATAAGTTTTGCCTTTTTATGGGTAGTTGTGCTGGAAGACAACATCATGTCTATTGGAATGTTCACACAGGGTTGTTTATAGGGCAGGGAATTAGGGGTCTGTGGTCCCTCCCTTTTATTCACTGTGCGCAGATGATAGCTCAGATAGAATCCCTTGGCAATTATTAACAAAAGGTTTGAATGAACCTTTTTAAATTCATCATCCCTAGTTTCTCATGATGTTCCCAGACCCTGGTATCGCTAGACGTACATTGCAGTATCTGCTTCATTTTCCCCACTAGTCCCCCTGGTGTCCAGAAGCCAGCAGAGACCTCATGGCCTCCACGGATGCCAGAGTAAGGCCAAAAAGGAGAAAAGGGCTTGTCTCCTCTCTGAGGCTGGCAGGGCGGCTGCTGCCTGGCCTTGAATTTGGGATATTCAGTGACTGCCTCCACCCTCTGCTGAGCGTGCAGCTGTGAGCCTTTGCATAGTAGCCTCCTCCCAAGAAGTGCTGTGGTTTTATGAAGTAATAGATGACTTCAAAAAAATTAAAAGTTCTCTTTGGTTGCTTCCAAGCCCAGGAATTGCTTAGCTCAAAGGATTGTTATTGGAATGCAGAAGCCCTTCTTGCCAACTCATACACTCCAAATCACTGCTAATTTTTTTTTTTTTTTTTCCGTGAGAAGGCTAGTGTTTTATAGTTGCTTGGTTAACTGGAGGATAGACTCATTAACCCATTCGGTATGAGAGCTCTTAGATTGAACTGAATTCAGCTATAACATAATGAGAGGCAACTGAAGGTGTATGTGTAGAGGGCCTAGTCTGCACCCCCTATAATGCATCCATCCATCCATCCATCCATTCTCCATCCATCCATCCATCATATGTGTGTGCAAGGTGGCATTAGGTACATAGAAGCTGTGAGTTATCTGTCCAGGATTGATAGTGAAAACACTGAAATTTTTGAAATTGTGTGCACACTTGTTTGGAAGGACTTCTGTTTGGCTTTTCTTCTGTGAAGACTGCCAGCAGCTTCCACTCTGACCAACGCAGAAGGCCAAAGCCCACAGCTCTGCTCGGCCTGGAAGCCCCAGGATGGTGACTATGACAGAGTGGCAGAAGGGACACTCTGCGTAGAACTGGAAGCCCCTTGTGATATTGGGATATGGCCTTGTTGTTCAATCCTGTTTCTATATCCTTAGTCCTTAGTGTGTGGCCGTTGTGTGTGTCACCTTGTACTCCTGAACTGCCCCGAATCCAATGGGATGAGGTATGCTGGGAGCACTGTTGAAAGGCTCCGGAGGGATGTAAAAGGACAGTCACTGTGTCCTGATGCAGGCCCAGTGGTAACAAGAATAGAATTGTTTTGGTAAGTTTGAGGCCCCAGGATGGAATGTTGCTGGCAAGGGGAGGGGAGGGACAGAGAGATTTTGCTATAGAACTGGGTTAAAAATCTATCACCTAGACCACTCTGGCATTTGATGCCAAAGCACTTGTGAGCATGTCATCTAAGGGAAGAACGTTCCCATAGGTGGTCCGATGGCTTCTGGAAGTAAGAGAGCAGGCTTCTGGAGACATTCTCCCTCATCTGTTCAAACCCTGCCTCCTTGTCTTTGCAAGCTAATCTCAGGACTTTGCTTTTCAAAGGTAGGGACATTTCTATCTAATCCTCCGAGACCACGTGCATCCTTAAGGATGCCTAGCTCTTGTAATAAGATGTTGTTTCTGGTTTCTCATCCCATGAAAAGGTTGAACCGGGGTCCCTGGCTTTGATCGATGAAGCTGGCGTAGTCTCAAGAAGAAATGACGCTCCTTGGATGCCTCCTACCCGCAGTGTGTCTCTTTTTGGCAAGAGGTCTGAAGTTCTCTTTGAGACATTATGCTTGGTTCCATTGTTCACAGTGGCTGTCTATGTGACTGCGGGCTGAAAGCGCTCATTATGCAAGGTCTTTAATGACCTTATATGAGATAGTAACAGAAGCAGTTGTTTTCTGAGTCAGGGAAGATTGTTCAGCTTTGGCTGGAAGCATTGTTTGTTGCTTCAGTGGTTTAGTGGTTTGCTGGTGACTGGCCTTGGATTTCTGGAACCCTTAGCAGGAGGCTGCTTTTTCTCCTTTGCTCTTAGCCTGTATTTCCGAAACCACAAAGCACATGACAATAGGTGCAATGTGCAGGTAGTTTGATTCACATTGTATAGTGACTATTAGTTTATAGCTGTATTAGACATATTTATTCCTTCATTTTGCATTAAACATTAAATCACCATTAAAACCAGTTGGCCAGTCAGAGAAAAGTTTAGGACAGGTCATTTTCTAGATGTAAACTATCAACTAGATCCTTTGGAATGTAAACCAAATAATCACACAACAGTGATGGAGAATGAGCTTAACACTGTCTTTTGATCTGTTATTTCTAACAGGAAATACTCAGTTTCTCTGCTGTACATTGGCCTCTAGATTCATATAGCATTGGTAGAAAGTGGGAAGTAGGAGGAACTTACGGAATTTGAGACCAGTTGGAAGTTTATAAAATGCACTTGGAAATTTTGTGGCATTATAACAAGATAACACATGTAGAAATCCTTTATAAACTCTGAAACTTTCCTCATAGGAGAGACATTGGAAGGTAAAATTGAGCAATTTATCTAATTGTTTACATATTTATTGCGTGCCTGTGATGCATCGCCTGCTAGCAGATAACAGCAGAATATCTCTTTTGGAACTTCTGCCTTAGTTGCCCTTAAGTTTCCAAAGATTCCTTTGTGCTTATAATACATTTATTTCTCTCTTTTTTTTTTATAATTTCTTGGGGAGATAGTAATTGGAACCAAGGCGTGAATAATTATCTTTGTAAGTAGGAAACTTTTTTTTTGACACTATATCTATATGCTTTACTCTTCCTTTATGATTTTTTTACTTCTTCAGGTCCTTGGCAGAAAATGCCACTTCATAGTTTCCAGGATGATCTCACCTCCCGTTCCCATCATAGGCAGAAGTTACATGACTCCACTTGGATCCTGATTTGAATTCCTGGGAGGAATCTGATTGGTTCTGTTAGGTCACATATGCACCCCTGCTCCAATCAAGTGCATAAGATGTTTGGAGTTTCTATTTGTCAGCTAAGGGTCCAGTCCTATGTGTGTGTGTGTGGAGGGGGTGATGGGAACAGTTGTGGGATATCATGGTGTATACAGATGATAAGGTCCTTGACCTCACAGAGCTTACAACCTAACAGAAAAGACATTACACAAATGATTATGGTATAGTGTGGGTTGAATGACAGCCAGCCCTAACCTGAGTAAGAGATCCTGAAAGACCTCCCCGAGAAAGAGTAGATAGGGCTAACCAAACTGGGTAGGGGAACATGGACCCTGGGAGGGAACAAATGGATACAGTAGATAAGGAATGAATGTTCCAGGCAGGTGGCAGAAGAATGAAAAACTCAGTGGCAAGGGGAAAAAAAAAAACAAAACTTCATTCATAGTGTGCAAGAAACACATGTTTAAACATTTTACAAGAGTGCTTCTATTTGCCATTCTCGTTCACTTTAGAGGAAGTTCTTTGAGGACAGGGACCATTTTCCCATTGCCTTTGGAACCAGTTGATATAGGGAGGATTTTACATGGAAGGATACATTCCAATTTATCAGATAGTTTCTTGGTGTAGTTTTCTTCCCAGAATAGCTATTCAGTTTTGAAATTTTATTATTTGTCTTGAGACATATCCTCTTGCCCTTTATTGGGAAGATGGATTGCATAACCTCTCAGAGTGTGCTTCCTTCAGGTTGGAAAAGATGAATTAAAGAAATTAGGGTCACTTTGGAAGGATTGATAATTACCAATTTTTTTTCCTATGTAAGACTGCTTTTATGTCATCCCCACTCCCAGCCCCTGAACAGATGTCTTACCGGGTATTATTGGCTATGCTTTTGTTTTGAAAATTTTGAAGCGTTATTGAAAGTGGAGATGCGTAGGGAAAAAAAAAAACCATAATTGATTCTAATATATATTTAATTTGGCAGAACTTGAGAGAGTCTTGCTGGGATAAGGCGGGACATTTCTTTGATCTCCCAGACTTCTTATCATGGAAGGCAACAGGTGTCACATCACGGTATGTTAATTACAAGTTGGATTTTATTTGTGCTCATCCATTCTCCACTGTCTGTATATATATATTGCTTTCTTAACTCACTGTGACTATAAGGACTGTTTGTACATCTGCATGTGATTTTGCATACTTGAAACATCTTGAATCCATCTTCCATCTCTACTGCACATGCCCAAACACCATTGTTCCTATGAGTCCTGGAATGTGGTATCCAAGGTGAAGACCATTCATTAAAATTGGCCACATTTGATGGAGATGTGAACAGTCCACCATGAAATGTGACTCTTTCCACAGGCACTTTTCACGTGGTTAGTAAAAGGAAAAGATTTTTCTCTTTGGCCCTTAAAATTAAGTCAAGAGATGTTTTATTTTAAAGGAAGCCCATTTTAACTAGATGGGTGTGTTCTGAAGTTATTTTGCTTTTTACATCAGTGTACCCAAATCATCATGAAGTGTAGAGGTATGCATGCTGAAGTAAACAACATTTTTCCAATAAATTATAAACTTTATAAATAAGTATGCTACGGTGAGAGCCAATTTAAAAACCACTCATTGAGTGTGAAATTTCAGCTGCTATAATTAACAAAGTGGCTATGTGCCTGGGTATATATAGAGAGACAGGTTTGACGTGAAATCTCAAAGTATACAAGTGTGTTGTCATCTTGACCTCTGATTTTTGTGGGATGGGGAGGAATGGATGGTCTCGGGTGAAAATAATTTAGAACAAACTTGTGAGGAAGAGGACCATTTTCTAGAGGACAGATAAACCTGAGTAAACATACATACACACAGACACACACGCACACATACACATGCACACACACATAGGAGAGAGGGAGGTATATTTTGAAGTTAGTTCATTCACGGAGAGCTAATCCTCATTTCCTTTCTTATTTAAACTCAGGGGAAGCTGTATTGGGAAATCGTTTTCTCTTGGGTTTTTTCCCATCTATCTCATTGTGTATAATTTGAACCTTTTCTTGTAGAGAGTTGATAAAGAGTGTGATAGTTCAGCTGCAGGAGCTTCCAGACAGGAGATAGGAGAGGACATGCTTCACTGGCACGTCATTCTTCATGGTATTATCTTCCCCTCCCACCAGTAAAGTACTAGGTTAGAAGGGATCCACATGCAGATAAAAATGACTTCAGCAGACTTCAGGTACTCATCCCTCACTGGGGGAGAGGCTTTTGGGGGAGTGGTATGAGCTTTATCCCAAAAGGTGCATTAGTCACCCATATACAGTTATCACCACTGAGGAGATCAGTATGTAGGTGAAGACCTCATCTTGGGCATTCTTCTTTCAATGTGAAATTAATTTTCTGAAGTCTAGAAGCACCTTTCTCTAGACTTGTTTTGCACCTGTGTAGTGAAGGAAATGTTTTGATCATTTTTGTTAAATAAACCTGTTAGTCAAAGCAATGCTAATAGTGTGGGTATCAGCAATACCCATTGGTCTACACACCCTGAGGACTCAAACATAGAACTGCAGGTGGAGACAGACCTGCATATGTTGTATTATGCTCCAAGTAGTTGCATGATCAGGTGAGTTTGGACAACATCGCCTAACAGGATATACTTGAAAGTAAGATGTGACTCTTTAAGGTGCTTCACACCTGGGAGGAATTGGGTCCATACATTCAAAGCCTTAATGAGTTTGGTGAATTAAATTTGGAGAGCTTAGTGTCGACCTATCAACTTGCTTGGAGTCTTTGCCACCACCTCCCCCCCCCCCCCGCCCCAATAGTCTGAAATTGCGGAAGCAGAAAATGAAAATGCTCAGAAAGATTTATTGTCTATCTAGTCATCCCTGCGATTTTTTTTTTTTTAATTGGCTGAGGCACTGATGACTCATTCTGTTTTCATTAATACAGATTTGTATCCCCCCTTCCCTGCCTCTGGCCCCATACTCAATAGCTCCTTCGGAGGCCTCTCTGTCTTCTAGATGTCCTCATCTAAGGCTGAGCCTGTGGACCTTGGACACCAGAGACTGGGTTCTTCTTGCAAGCATGGTTCCCCTCTCCCTGGCACACCTATTTCTTAACATCTGTCTGTTGCTTGTGTCGTCCTCAACCTCCCAGTTCTTTCTCTCTTCTCTCTTTTAACCTGCATGATCAGGGTGGAACTAGTAATAGCTCTGAACTTTCTGGATTGTAAAATAAGATAATGGTTGCACCTGCTCTGTGGAGTCATCGTGTGCACTGAGTAAGGTAACAGAAAAACTTCCAACACAGTGCTCAGATCATTTTTTTTTTTTTTTTAAGGAATTAGCTTTTTTCTTTTTAACTTCTCTTTTTTCTATCTATTTTGGCAGGGAGTTTTGGATTACATTTCTGGCATAGTAGAATGAGGGAAATCCTTGTCGTCAGCTTCACCTGGCCTCAGTGCCTCTACTATGTACTGTCTGAAAGAACCTGAGTGAATTACTTGCCCCCACTGAGCCTCAGACCCTCCTCTGAATGTCCTTGCAGGTATATGGAAGGAGTTAGAAGTACAGGGGATAAAATGTGTAGCACTTAGCTTTAAAAGAATACAGTGTTCTTTTAATCAAAAATCCCCATTGTCTGCCCCCGCTTCCAGAGTAAGGAAGATGAGGGTCTGAGCTGGAATGTGCCAGTGCCAAAAATACTTTGGGCAGTAGAACATGAACTTGGCAACCTTTAAACCTAGGAGGGGTTCAGATTGGGTGTTTATTTGATTCTTAAATGATGATTATTTTGGGAGCCTTTGGGAAAAAAGAGTGCCAAAATGGCTAAAGAGGATTTTTTTCTTTCTGTTTTACTTTTGAGTCTAGGCTAAAAAGTGATCATGTTTCACCTTAATGCTTTCAGACTTGTTTTTGGCAGTGATAATGTGTAAGAAGTCTTTTTTCTTCTTGTCTTCTCTCCTTATCTATTTTTCTCCCCTTGCCCTCTTTTTTTCACCATCTCCCTGTTAGGTACAATTTCATCTTAAAATATGGGCCTCTCTTATTTATTTGGATTAATGAGGAAATTACCACCTGGCCTATGATTAACTTTTAACTCAACCCCATTTTTATTACACTAATTAAAATAATTATCACTGTGTTTTTGTTATTTATAGTAACAATATGGTAATAATCATTTATCAAGTGCTTTTTATTTGTGCTGGGCATATTAATAAATGTGAAACCATTAGTCCTCTTAACCATGAGTTAAATTATATGGTGTTATTACCATTTCCCGATTCAAGAACTGAGGTTAAATGCTGTAGATATTTGCCACATTCTATCAGTTAAGTAACTGTTCAGAATTTTGTTAACCTGAGAGATGGGGAATCATGAATTTGAATAATAGCAACTGATATAATCAGATAAAAAGATATGCATATAACTTGCAAATACTCTCTCTAATGAGATTTGAGTTGGCTGGCAATAGGATAAGATAAAAACTGATAAACATATTTAAAAACTACAATGGAGTGAAATATTAATAGAAAAATTAAAATGAAATTAAGAGCTTCAGAGAAACTCAAGTTATTTCCAGTTATTAATAGGTATGTTCCCTAGCTTCCTAGTAGCCAAGATTGAAATATAAGATTAACTGAGTGGACAGATCAGACCTCTGGAATCTGAAATTTCTAGTAGATTATCAAGGATTGGCAGTATTCTATAAATTATTTAAAAGTATGTCTTCTAAATTCAATTATAATTTCAAATATGCCTTTTTATTTTCAAATTGTTTTTATTTTAAAAGTTTTCGATTTACAGAAAGTTAGGAAGATAGTACAGAGTTCCCATATATGTGATACCCTTACAATTAACATCTTATATTCATTTGATGCATCTGCCACAATTGATGAAATGGTAGTGATATATTATCACTGACTTGATTTCATATCTTGATTCCTATTTATTTCTTTAGTTTTAACCTCATGACCTTTCTATGTTTTGTGGTCTTCTCCAGGATACCATATATATTTAGTCATGGCTTTAAACTCTCTTGACTGTGACAGTTTCTCAATTTTCTTTGTTTTTGAAAATCATTATGTATCTTGTCAAATGACCCTCTGTTTGTTTTTCTTTTATTTTTTAAATTGCAGATCTACTTTGTGCAACTTATTTTTCCTTAATAAATTATTGTATTTTTCATATCGGTGAGTATTATCAGAAAACATGTTTTTGATACCTGTGTAATAGTTATTATAGGTCAGTATAAAGTGTATATGTTAATTCTTCCAAATTTTTTAGGTTTAAAATAGTATCCAAAGGGGGAATAAAATGGTATCTAATTTGTTTTATATTCTTTGGTTATCAAATATAATAAATTTTTCTTATACTTGTTAACCACTTTTATTAAGTTATGTTAATTGCAAATTATGTTAACCTGTGTTACATGTGTCAATTAGTTATTTATTGAAATTATTAATATTTATATTGGATTTCAGCATTTTCTTAAATTGTGAGAGCGCATGTTTTTTGTTTTGTTATTTTCCCCAGGTATTAATTTTGAAAAAAATTTGAACAGAAAATTTGAGAGAATGGCATGTTGAAAACTATATATTTACCTAAATTCATCAATTAACATATTGTTAACATTTGTGCTTTCAAGTGCTCTATCCCTGATATGCACATACTTTGCTGAAATGTTTGTAAATGAATTGCAAACATCATGTCCTTACCTCCTAAATTCCATAACATGTTCACCCAGGAGTATCAGCGTTTTCTTATCTGACCACAGCGCCATTGTCCCAGTGAGGGCCAGTTATATGAATCTTCATTATTTAAACTCTCGTAACATCCCTGTTATTAAGGACTCAGGGTGTCACTCACTCTTGCCAATAGGGCTCTGACTAATAGAAACTACATACAAAGAAGTATTAGCTAAATGAAAAATGAAAACTACCTCATTATCTCAGAAAATGCTCTTGCACCTCTGTTACATAGAGCTTCTGTATAACCCAAGGGATCATGCAGTGAAGGCTATACCAGCATCTGCATATTCAAGTATATGTGTGTTTGCTGTAGGAAGGAAGACCAGATATG